GCCGACCCCCCCCCCCTCTCTCCCCCTAATGACAGAAACACGAAACAGGATACTCAGAATTCGGCAGATGTGTCTGGCTTCTTCATCTCATTGAAGGAATAAGAATGAGGGAAGCTCGATGAATGAGAACTAATTTTTTTTTTCTCTTATGACAAGAAAAAAAAAGGAAAATACGCACAATTGACGGTTTGTTCAAGCAGAACAAATATTTCCTACTGTTCGTCATAGAATCCATGACGATAAGTTCGTTCGGTGTGGACGACACTCATTAATATATTATACTATAATCGCTGCTACGTTCAGACGTAATTAAGTCACGTGTGAAGAGTCTGTGTACAGAATTGATATATATTTATTTATATTTCTAATAAAAGGTCAACAATATTTTACGATTAAAATTTTGTCATCCTCCTTTTCGTCCTGTTTTACGTAAACTGCGTGTTTCGTTTATCCTGTATGAGAGGTAGAGGTAAAAAAAATTTTTTGAAAATTTACTTTCCAAAAATCCATATCATAGGAAATTCTGCTGATATCGTCATTCTGTCTGTTTAGTGGATAAAGGGTTTTGTCACGTCGGGTGTGATAAAAATGTTATTTCAAGCTAATCTGACGGCATATGTGACGAAACGCATATGACATATAGATGCTTGTACATACGTACTTGCAGTTATATATATTAAAGAGAGAATTGGAGTACGAAAAAATATGCGCATATCGTATCGCGCGACAGGATGCGGCAATTCAATTTTCCAAAGTCCCTATAAATATGCAACGTGTGCGGAGGCCCACGGAGAACTTGAATTGGACAGCCGAGCATTGTTTTTGAAATATCGAAATTTCGTAATACCCGAAATCGTATAATAACGCGAATGGATATTAAACACGTGAAATCGATGAGCGTGTAATAAATAACGGGGAAAAAAAGGTTTCTTCGGACTTATAAGAAAATTTACTTTACCGTACGTACATATTTGCATATACGTGTTTTAGGGATTTTTAGAAAATTTTTACTTTTTGAAAAAACGTGTGAAGCTCTACATATTTTAGTATAATTGATTAAAACTTCCACTCGTGTAGTGACAGCCGTTGGCGCTGCAGTCGCCTGCGACTCGACGCGTCTGCAACTGGATACGTCGAGTCCCACCGTATTGTACGGCTGACGACATTCTCAGTTTCGTATTTCGTGCCGTCAAGATTTCCACACTGAGTATCGTACATAATACAAAGATAGCATAGAAGCGTGGAACGTGACTCGAAAACAGCCCGGTGGCCGGCATTATGTAGCTTCAGGATAATCAGTCGTGCTACTAGGGAGTGGAGATTCTTTATTCGCGGCCATATTGTAGTGAGCAAGAAAGGGCAGAGATTGAATGAAAGGAAGGAAAAAGAAAGACAAGACAGAACAGTGTTGCCAGCAGAAGCCATTGGAAAGAGAAAAAATATTGGTTCAGTATTTTAGTTCGAATTACAGCCATCACAATTACGCTTTAGTTTCTCTTCCGTCCGATGACAACAGTGGCGCTGCCATCTAGTGGCTGGAGACCAAAGCTCTATCCCGCTCTATCCCTATATTTCGACGTGATTTTTCGATTCACGGCCACGTGGCAACCCCAGCTATACCGATTCAGAAAGTTCTCGATTTCTGGTTCCCTTCGGGTCGCCACGCTGCTCAGAAACTACGCTCTCGGGTTGATTCGTATAGTTACGCCAATGCTTTCGGAAGATTTCGTTATTGTTCAGTTGAGGTCGAGGTGCTCGAATCTGCCGTGGGGAGATAGTCTCGACGTACCGAGGTGCCCGGCAGAGGAGACGACCCGACGGAGACGTCTCCACGGACCGGTAGAAGCCCGGGTCTGCCGTGGGGAGATAGTCTCGACGTACCGAGGTGCCCGGCAGAGGAGACGACCCGACGGAGACGTCTCCACGGACCGGTAGAAGCCCGGGTCAGATACCGGCGCCCTGCCGGAGATGGCAAAGGGCTGCAGAGCGGGCGGAGATAGAGTTTTGGTTAGGTTAAGGCCAGCGGAGGAAGCCCCTGACCTGAGCTGGGGTGTCCAGATGCTCTGGGGAAGCGGCCGTGGAGGATCTTCAGAAGTGTTACACGGTACCGATTCGCTAAGAAACGCTCGCGATTTAGTTTAAAGGAAGGACTCGATGAAAAGGATAATAATTATTGGCTACAAGAATCTCGAGCAATCCGAATTTTGAGTTCTCGAATTTGACTATTGTCAAAGTCAGTCTGTCCCGGGACACCGATCAGAAGACTTGCATTTCAATTCTCATTCTTTCCTTTGATCAAAGACATACGCCATTTGCCTTTTGCTGGCGCTGGCGTTACACGCGGAATTAAGGTCACTTCGCTTCCTGAAAATTCCTTCTGGGCAACCACGCTGTCGCTTTGCACGGAGAAAATATTTCGTCCGGCCTTTTTGTTTCTCTGTCTTTTGTCATCTTTTTTTCCCGTCTCTTCGTTTACCGAACCCCCTTTCAATCCTGCTGACCCGCTTTTTGTCCTGCCTATGTGAAGAAAAGAAAAAAAAAAATAGGATTTTCCTGCTCTTTCACTGGATAAACGCTGCACGAGAAGTCCTTTTTTTTATTCAAAGCAAATCATTTCTTTCCTTTGGCATCTATCTCGTATTCGTCTTTACCACCCACCACCCTAGTACCCAAGGGCATTTGATTTACACCGATCCACAACCTTTGGCAACCTTCGCATCGGCTCTTTATGTAACAAGCAAAATCATTGTAGAGCTGGCGAACAACTCGAAGCACTTTGCCAAGCGATTCGAAAAGCCTTTCAAAGGACGAAAGTGGAGTTATATGCAGGACGGACGTACTTGTGTGTAGAAAGGAGAAGAAGGGATGGAGAGAGGGATGGTTCCTTGGTTTGATAGAAAGGAAGCTTAGTGTTCGCATTTATTTTTTTTTTACCGTTTAAGGGTTGGCTGCTGGTACTTCATTCCTGACTTGCGAGATTCATATAAGCACTTTGAGATAAGATTTTTCTATTATAAGAATACTTTACGTTGACAATAGTCATTGTGCTGTGAATTTATAGAATATTCCTTTGTACTTTGGTTATGAATTTTTCGTGGCTCGGTTGGTATTTAGCTTTATTAGTCGAGGGATGGTCGATGAGTTGGAGCAACAGGAGCGTCAAATTAGCTGATAATTTTAATAATGGAGAAGTCGACCTTGCGGGAGCAATTAATGCCGTGTCTTGTCTGTTAAAATACTAACGGAATATTAGCTTAGGTATTATTCCATCGACAACAGTGTTGTTTCTTTGTGTATTATATCATCTTTAACGCGTAACGAATTTTGATAATGGAAATTAAATACGTCCGACCCCTCGGCTTTCTATATTTCCCGTTAAATTGACTTCAGCACGAGATACACGTACGTGCTTCAGTTATAACCACATTGTTGGCAGATTGATACGAATTGCCTCCAATTATATCCAATCGGTGAGACTAAAAATAAAAGTGTCGTCCCTCTGTCGACGTTTCGCCCAAAGTTCAACGCACGCAAGTCGCTCGGTCGGTAACCATTGAATTCGTCGATAACTCTCTTACCATGTTACCGGCTGAAAAAGTTATCGTTCGACAACAGTAGAATCAAGTTGCCGTAAAACTCGTCTAGGTGGCCATCCGTCATGTTGACAAGCTTCCATTCTTTTACCATGAATTACTTATTGCTACACGTCGAAACTTCAATTCACGGCATATATTCACCTGCATATTCCCATAAATGTGCTGTCTTCACGTAGAAATTTGAAATACCACCCAACTAATCGCTCCTGTCTATAGAAAAATTTAAAAGAAGCCTCGTTACAAAAATATCATTCCCCACGCTCTAATCTTTGAACTCTCGCTGATGTTCAGCATTAAATCAATAACGACCAATAACAAGATACAACTACCGTTCACGAAATATATCAGTGCAACACACGAAATAAGTCCAATATAAAGGTCCGTTAATACTTAACACTAACCTACCGACATATTATATATACCTATTTCTACCGATGGCTGTCAAAGGACCGCTTTTGAAATAAACATTATAGTCTTTCCCAGTTGATTGTAATTAATACAGAATTTAGCATAGTCGTGCAGTAAGTTCAAGAAAAATAAAAACCTGGAATTTAACAATTTTGATTAAAGTCTCAAAAGCGGTCATTTGACCGCTCTGGTAGGTTTAGTGTTAAAGTCTTCATACTCTAAATTGTCATCTCGTCTGTTTCAGCTACCGGATCTGAATAGCCTCGACGAAAAGGTAAGTGAAGACATAAGACACACTGCCATCCATTAATCATCCAAGATCCTGGTAATTTATCAAGTAGTACCAAAATAATTAATTAACCCATAATCAAACCTACTCAAACGTGCTCTGTACACACGTTCCAGTTATTTTACGACCCATACCCCTCTTTTTTCTATCGTATTCTCAATTATCGTCACCGATATCCAATCGAAAAACGTAAACATTTTATTACACCAATTTTGCATTATCATATCGTCATATGTAACACAATGATAATTTGACAGGCTTGTCTATACCGTCGAGTCCTAAACCACGCGTGACCCATTTAACACGTGTGCCACTTTCGCAACACTCACCAGCCCTTCGTCGCTGATCCCACGGTATTGTAACACGAGACGATCGTATCTTTAGAATGTGTCGTCCACATGAAAATGAGTCCCTACGAATTTCCATTACGAAAATTGACCAATGGATTCTCCCAGAGGGAGGGGGGAGGTTCGTGGGGGATGAGAAAGAAACCTAAAAAAACATGAAAAGACTATACGTAATAAACGTTGATCTGATTTGAAATATTTTTTCGAACAAAACTTTGTTTACAATACTACGTGCCACTAACGAACCGATCAGTTTAACATTCTTTCCGCGAACGTCTTATCGCGTTACTCGGAAACTGACTACGTGACTATAGTAAGGATCATGCGTGTCAGAATGCACGAAGGAACCGTCACGAAACGCCGACTATATTTCATTTCCAAAGTTCCTATAAACCGCCGAACATGGAACATTTCCAAGTTCCTTATCTCACGATAAGATTTCGAAATTGCCAACTATTCTCTTTTTATTCGGCATACACGATACCAGCATACACGTATACGGCATCCTTCGACAGTTGCTGTAGCATACGGAACCACGTCCCGTTACTTTATCCAATTTATTTAAGAAATCATCACTTATCTCAAACAGTCTGGACCTTCCAAGAAGTCAAGTTCATCTGACTGTTGCGTCGACAATTTATTTACATTTACCTAAATCAATGGTTAAACGATTCCTACAACACCAACCAGTCCTGAAACTTCCATCGATCTATTCTCTAGAGTCGATAAAATCTTCATTCGATCCCCCAATAAATATCCCATATAAGATACAGCATCCCTGGACCACGTATATTTGTTTTTCAATTTTTTTCTTTTTTTTCTACCAGAACGATCACTGATTACAGTACCATAAACAATCTTATTTCCCTCCCACCTTTGATCTCGTTACAGATGCAAAATAATAACACACCAAATGGACCGATAGCAATTACTTCGGGGCTCCTCGAATTCAAGGATCCTCCCCTCCCCTCCCCTCCCCTCCCCTCCCTCTAAGATACGTCACTGCGCTGATAACTCTGCCAAAGAGGGCGAGACCATCGTTCACTGTCCACTCGAGTGTTTTGCACATGTTCAATGTCCAAGATACCTACGGAGCAACGGCGCAGCATCCCGCGCACTTCGGATTTGGGTTAATGTATCTTGGCACCGTCTTATGCAATTGAATCGTGCCATCGCTAATTGTCCCCACAATTTATTGACACAGGTGCTAACCGTGCGATGGTCATTAATCGTATCTTCATTAATCGACTATAAAATCGATATATCGATCGGAATCGATACTTTGGAAACGATTCGATTCCAGATGCTAGATGACGTCAGTCTCAATGAAAAATACAAGTATCGGAGAACCGCAATGTAGAGCGTAGCAGAGGGGTGGTTCGTATTTAAATGGCTATGGATGACCTTGAATATCGAATCGATCCTTCAGTACGAAATTAAAAGTTTGCAAATTCTTTTTTTGTGCCAAACCATACGCGCCAGTTTCTTGCCGTGACGTCAGACGGGGCGAAGATCGTGCGCGGAATCCCAGAGATGCTCTTAGCGATTGTCATCGGATATCGGGTGTCAAGTTAGTTAATTAGGCGCGGTCGACGGCTGCGGAATTAACAGAGGATCCGTAGACTCGAGGTCTAATTCGAGTTAGGAACCCGTTAGGAACTTGGTTCTTGTTGGGAAATTACGTGGAACGTGATAAACTGTACGGAAGTTTAATATGTATGTATATTGTTGTTATTATATATATATATATATATATACATATACATATAATGAAGGTTCCAGCTTCTCGTTATTACAGCGTATAAGCAACATTGAAGATTTCTATGTTGATTATTTTTATGGACTTACTGGCGTCTGTTTTGTAGGATCGTGTAGGTTGACAAAGCGAAAAAAAAAAACAGCATTAGAATTAAGTTAGAAAAGTAATGAAGGAAAGGGGGGCAGAGACGCGGGAGGATGGCTCTGCTAGGCGATATCTGTGTCAGAGAACGAATAGCTGCCAGATCTGCCGTTGTTGTAAACAGGATGGAATTTGCATGCATATTCAAGAGTGAATAGTCGACACGCCATAAGGCGACGTCGCGGTGGTTGGGTTTGTTTCGTTGCAGAAAATTCGCAGTTCTCGGGCGTTAAGATGCTTCGGTGTTAAATTTTGAAAAAAATTTTTCGCGAATAAATATGAAAAATGATTATCAACGTAAGAAGGAGAGATAGTGGTGAGAAATGGTAGAATCCAAGGACGACCATCGGAGATGTGAAAAATGAAACCGGAATTTTTTAAAAATTATATTTTTTATTTTGATGCGGTTTTTTTTTCGAAAATTTTCATTTTTTCTTCTCCCATCACACCACCTTGTCATCGCTACCTCCTGTCTTCAATGACTTCTTCGCGCGGATTCAAATGTCTGGCGTAGCTCGTACGTTTTCCACTTAAGATTCCCAAGCCCGCTCTTCTCGCACATTATGTGCAAATTTGCACACACGGCGCAAAGTAACGAGCATGTATGTATGCATAAGTTTAGCCATCCGTATATAGCAACTACCCAGTAAACAGCAGTGATTGCCAAATCACGACTGTTATTAATACTTAATGTGCGGAAGATCATTGCATAATTGTGTATACATATACATATATATATATTTTTTATATAGTATATATATATATATATATATACACTATGTAAAATCTACTAGGCGCGGGATTTGATATTCGGGTCTGAGCACACCGTAAGAAAACTTTCCCAAGCTTTGTAATAAATTGATAAATTTCACCCTTAAAATTAATGTCTGACCCATGACGGTGGCTTAACTACTTACTGCAAGCGGGATCCATCGGAAGGAGATTAGGAAAAGTTAAGAAAGTTTCATTAGGCGAGTTTCGGCTGGCTAAGCGCATCCGTAAAATCTCCAGCCAAAATGGCACCGGATGACTCTAATAGGCCAGGCTTAAGATTGTCTAAGCGCTAAGAATTGTTTTTTAATTAGTGCTGGGGTTAGGATGAGATCCGAGGAGCTCTAAGGTCACTGCGGTTAGAACGGTTAAGAATCTGGGATGGCAATATAAAAAACGCTTTCGATGCCACGCTTTAAAGATGTCACAAGGACGTTTACGCACCGCGTGGGTGACAGCGCGCAGTGGAAAATTGTCAAGTAAAAATGTTCAGGAATTTGGATATGCGAATATACCAACTGTTAGAAATAATTCAAAGTCAGCGTATCTTCGTGCTTTCGTACAACCAGTCACCCCGTCGACCATTTACCATCCGACGGTGAACGAAAATCGTCAACCATGGTCGTGACCTCCGTATCAAATGCGTATGGACTGCCAGAGTTACAGAATTTGTCGAAATTCTTGTAGCTCCGAGCCGGACTTACGCGCGGGCAATATTTAGCTAGTGTTACTTTGACTTCTTTGACTTGTGAGATTCCACAGGCTTCGCGTGGCCTTGAAAAATAATGGACGGTAGTTCCGTCGACCTTGAGAAAACTAAACACTATAGATAACAGATTGATTTGTTAACGATTGTCGTCTGCGTATGTCGACCATTAAAATTTTCACAAATAGAAAATTACACTCGATTCTTATCGATGTTATCGATAAGTCGAAGCACGCAGTATTTAAAGTATTATTTAATAACACTCGTCATATTCTATTTAGATAGCATCTTACCAACGTGATAATATACTACGAATTCGATAACTCTAATTTCGTATGCCGTGAGGCAGAAGAGGATTCTTAAAGAAACAGTGCGAGAACAATGAAACAATAATAGAAATGGCAGAGACGTACACGTGGTGTAGGAAGAGGAAGAAACCTCAGCCAGGAATGTCGTGAATTCATAGTTGTTTTTGTTTGCAGGAAGTGGCGCCAAAGTGTCAGTCCTCTCGACACGTAGCTTCCCAGCGTGTTTGGCTATTTTGCGTATATCTTTATGTACACGCGTATATCACACATACACATTTAAATATTCACTTAAACGAACTTTTATAGTGTACTTCCTATAGGTCGCTGGACTGTTGCCAGTTTATTAACGATTCAAGGATACGTTTTGCGTGGAGAGATACGCGGAGCCACCATGTAAACAGTCTCGACTGAGCGCCGCGGCGTGGCGCTGCGTTCGCTCAGCTGACAGTTCACTACGAACGTAGCAGCGTTCTGAATTTTTGTGGAACGCGCATAATTGCTATCCCAGGCAGTAATTAGAATTTTAATACCAAGTTAAATGCTATACTGTACGATTTGGCCGGATCTGTCAACCGCTGGAAGTTCGTACAAAGTAATTAACAGCGATATAAACGGATCGATTCGAGTCTGTCGACTTCTACCGAGAAACCGAACGGACTAGTAATTTTATCCGTAACGTAATCCAGAAATATTTTCCATTACATCAAACATGTATATATAAGGATCGATATTTATTACCATTAATATTGCATACAAATAATTAATCTTAATTATATAAACCAAGCCACGTACGTTATGAAATATCAATTCTTCAAAAACCGTACAATCGTTTGACACTCGATTAGATGCGTGTAGCCAAGATATACGTATTTCTTTCTCGAAAGATCTGGAATATTTTTGGTAATCCAAATTTCTTTTGCCTGTCGTTCTTCGATCACGTGCTTCGGTACTATCTGTATATACGCGAAGATACACGTGGCACTGTTGCCACGACCGCAGCTCGTTATTTTAACGATTCGACGGTCCAGCCTGCGTCTTTATCGTCGATCCAAAAATTCCGTGTCGGTGCGGAGAATGACAAGAAAAAAATAAGAAGCAGAGGAAAAGTTGAAAATAGTATTTTTTTAATACGCCTGCTTGAACGGGCCGGCCTAATTTTATCATGATTATTGTTGAGAGCGCGTAAAAAATAGTTTAACGAAATTTGGATTATTGAATATAGAAAGAAAGAGAAGTCAAGCCGTCCTGCCTAATTTTATGTCATAAAATGAGACATCGATCGCAGACCCAATGGTATAACGCAATCGTAATAACGCAGCTAAGTATCTAAACCATTACAAGGCATCGCGTTAACCCTGTTCAAGCTATCTCCTTGAATTTTCATATCGCGAGAATCGCTCGCATGTGAACCTCGCTGCTGGGCCAAGTTCAATGCGATTGAATCACACGGTACCAGCCTAACGACTGAACAATAGAAATTCGAACATGGCACGAAGACAGTACACAATGAGATACGTCGTAAGACGGGCAAAGATCAGATCGTTACGTTTATCATTATACATTATCAGGAGACTCGCCAGAGTCTCGCGTCAAGTTCCAATTTATTCAGTACATATTCTAAACGCACCAGGTTGTCACGAACGCGTAGCGAATCTATAATCGTGCATTGGTACGTTATCTATATGCATATGTATGTATATATATATATATATATATACACACGCCGTGCCGTGATTCGGAGGCAGTTTCAGAGTTGTAAAGAAAAAAAATTCCGCAAATTTTTCCCATTGCTGCACGACGAGCATGAGGTTTTGTCGTTTTTTGCATATAAAAAAGCAGTAACGTTGAGCAAAGAAGATCTTAATTTAATAAATTTTCTTCACGGCCCAAAATCCAGCGTCACCGATTAATTTCGAAATTTTGGATTCGCCCAGAATCACGAGACGACTGCATATGATATATATATATATATATATATATATATATATATACCGTACAGTATATGTATATGTATATAAATGTCAGCAGATGCATATTTGACATTTCTCTACTTGGTTTCCGCAACACGATTATAACCGACCGCGCCGGAGGCCGCCGAGTAAACGATTACACGAGATATGAGTAAATCGAAGAAACACCTTATGCAATCGATTGTTATTCTGTCGTCAGCCGCGTCAGATTCCGTCTCGGTAGCGACGCGGATCGAACTGTCGTGAACCCTGAGGTCTGTTTACAGATGCTGACAATATATTCGTTCTCTCTCTGTCTTTCTCTCTCTTCGTACACAATCCTGGAATAGAACATAAGAGAAAGACGCTGCGAGGCAAATCTGTGAAATTCGCGACTCGCTGCGATCATACGTGAAATTTCGAGAAAGTCGAAAGAATCCGTAGCACGATATATACATATATACTGCACGTATGTTAGGTACGTTCTCTGTTATCAGGCTCTTTTTTGCTGTGCCCGTTTAACTCTCGAGACCTAATCGAAATTGTTGTTTGTCCAGACTCGTGTCGATTCGATAAGGCGCCTGTTTCAGTTTAAAAGGGACATGAAAATGCGGCTTTATCACAACGGGGGTTAGTAGCGATTGCCCGTACTAGATTCAGATTGAAAATATCGTTGGAGTCGTTGCGATTAATCGCAATGATTCTTTTTTTTTCAAATATACATTTTTTATTAAAAAAGAGACAGGTACGATATTTACAAAAAGAGGCGGGTACAAAATTTTGAAAAAAAAAATTTTTTTTCTCTACGTCATCCCTCTCATACAAGAATCCCATGTAACGCTGATTTTTCTTACGATTTGCCATACTTGCTTCTTATACGCCATCGCGACTGTAATTACGCGATAATTAAACGATTGACCCCGCATGACCTCCAATTGTCGCGGAGCATTAATAATCGTGTCTTGCGCCTTCCTTTAGATTTTTTTTTCTTTTTTTTCAAAATCACTCGAAAAATTCTCCTCGGTCGATTCTGCCCAACGGGCTCCACCCCGTTCGATGTAATATTTTATTCCGAACTATTTTTATTGATTCCCAAGTCCCACGCCGCCCCGACGCAGAGCGTCGTGACGCCGTGCGTCCGCGATATAGGCTATTTGTCAATAGCTTCTTGTTTCTCGTATTACAATAGGAGTCTGTCACGTCGCGACTCAATCGTCACATGTTTAAATGCCGGCTGCGACCCCTATCCGTTATCTGCACTCGTTACTCTTCCATACACTCGTGCTTGTGTGCACATACTGTAAGGCTATACGTGTTTTAACAATAATGTTAAATAATAAATATAAAAGTTACGAGAGCTACGTCATCGCACGGATTATAGTCCAGCAGCGATACACAGGGGTCAAACGCCTTATTATCGTTCGCACCAGGGCGCGCAGTGTAGAAGCGGGAGATCAGATACGTGCATATATGTATATATATACTCATGTGTGATTACACGGAGAGCCATAGTACGCGGATGATAGGTAGTGGAGAATAAACGAGGATCAAAGTATAGAATACAAAAATATTTTTTTATATAAAAAAAAAAAAATAGAATTCTAATCAATGCAATTTTAATTGGCTCATTGCAATTGGGACGGGTGATTAGAGCTCCAATAATATTTCACGGACTTAGGAATGAAAAGTGAATAATGAGCGCGAACGATGTATCACGGCTGGACGAGGAGAGACGCCACTGTGAAATGGACCATTTTGCGGACTGCTTTCCAGTTTTATGGAAAAATGGTGAAATCGCTGAAATTTTTCGTGAAGACTCGCCCGAGGTCTTGCTGATTCGTTCTACCTTGTCACATTACATCTAGGTCGACAATCGCCGACAGACGCGTGTATACAGAGTGGAAATTTTTTTTTGGATACAAGGGAAAATAATTTTTGCGCAGTTATACTAAAAAAAAAGAAGAATAATAAAATTCAAGAGACGACAAGAAAATAATATAATGGTGGTACAGGAAGAGAGAAAGAGTCGCGCGAAGTGATCTACGATAGCTCGACCGACACTTGTATCTTTGGCTCGCGCACACGTTCACGTGGTGCGCCTGCGCTAATTTATCGTTCGGCGCTATCTCCGGGCTATCTCGATTTATCAGTTAAACGTTATTTGCGTAAAAAGCAGCAGAAGTGGGTCATGCGAATAAAAAAAGAAAGCACTGCGAAAAATCTAAATCTCGCGGGTGACCCGCGTACACCAAACTACAGCTATTGGCATGCCGAATCCCCTTGGTAGAATTTATTTTCGGACGCCACGTGACAACTCCAAAATTACGGGCACCCGTGAAAGATGCGAATATGCTTGAAAAAAGAAAAAAAAATAGAACAACATAATTCGTCGCTTCGTGTAAATGCATGGAAGTCCTGAGACGCGCATGCAAGAAAAATGGAAAAAGCAGGGTGGGAAGATAGAAGAAAATGGAGAATGGTCACTTGAACACAATGGACCCTAGTTAGTCACGCTAATGATCCTCGTTTGCTATAATCAACCTGCTTTGTACGCGTGGAGATGAGTCTCTCCCCCCCCCCAACCCCTTCTCCACTCTCACCGCGAATCTTAATACTTTCTCATTAGCTGCACGTGTCTGGTACTTTTTCGCGTGAAATTATCTTCGCAGCATCTTCCATTGCCGTAGATACGAAGATTTTACGATTATTATTTTTTCCGTAATTTTTGTAAAAATATTCTCGAACCCCCCCTCCCTTTCCCGAATTAGCATAATTTACGCGCGCGAATTACGCGAGCAACGTGCCAGATCGTTTACGTACAGTCATTTGCGTTAGCGATGCTGTAGCTGTACCTGTAAATGCATGCGCGCTATCTGGTGGGCAACGTTATCAATGGTCCACTTCCTCTTCCTGTTTCTCGAGGGCGACCCCCGACGGTTCCTCACGAGGACGCTTTGTCGATGTGGCAACTGCACTTCTTCGCCGCGAAGTCTATATCGGCTGGTGCACGTGTCGCCCCGGTATTGCGTCGCTTTCGAGCAACAGCGGCAAACACGATTATTTCTGCGCGATAGAGACTCCCTCTGTGACTCTGATTGCAAATTACGTCACACGTGATAACTTCGTGTCGGTCGCGATTTACGTATACACATATGTATATTTCTCAGCCATTTTTCTGTCCGTTTTCGACTTTCCTTCTCGCAGCTTCCGCAGTAAATAATTCCGTTCGCCGTTTTCCAGTGCCGATTCCCACTTACGGTAGGGATGAAGTTTGTCAGCCTGCTTAAGGA